CTTGGCAAGTTGGGCATTTGTGATTTGCATGCTCCAACTTGAGGGGGGGGGGGGAGTATTAGGGCCTATTATTGTGCATAGTAGATAGCTAACGGGCCTAGTTCTTGTGCCCTAATCTCTTGTATATATACTGTAACACCCCCGATTTACTAACTAAAAATAAATAACCTTTAAATAAAATTGCAGAAGCATACTCTTAAATCGGAGGTATTACTGCCACACTCGACAACCTGTCAAGTGTTAAGGCTTACAAAATCCCAATAATTACAACCCAATAAACTAGGTGAGCTATTTATACAACTTTACAAACTTTTTATAAACAAACTAATCGATCACTTGAGCTCCTTTAGCTACGATCACTTGATCAACCTGTATAAACAATCTTGACTGCTCACCATTAAGGACAAATTCCAAAATAGATCGTTGCAGGGCCACCATAAGAAAAGACATGGCCACAAACACAAGTAGCACAACAAAATAACACACACGTCAGCAAAAAGCTGAGTAATCACCACATATTAGAATATAGAGTATAATTAAATAATACACAATACTAGCTCAATTAAATAATGTAGTTCGAAACTACATTACACATTGTACTTTGAAAATAACCTCTGTCAACTCAACCTCGAATAATAATTCGAACCTTTACTCAATCATCTCATAAAACCCATAAGTGTGCCATGCTCGTTGTTCTATACTTAGCCTTGGACACGGGTAATTCGAATATCAAACCAACAAGTATAAAAACTTGAAAACTCTCAATAACCAGAAAAACACCTTGAACCAGACCACCTACGGGTCAATTCCCACTGTAGGAAACCATAAAAAAATATAAATAAAGATTGTACCTCATTCTTAACTCATGATCATTATCTCATTACCAACATACCAAGGACTAGGTCTATAACGCTGAGCCTCAAACCAAGAACAAAATAAATAATTCTCAACCTTTTGATCTCATACTTGATCAAATAATCCTTCACAAATTAATTTAAAATATCTCAATAATGGCACAGGTTCCCAAATAACATAACAATTCAATTCAAAAACATCTCAACTCTTAGGGGAGTAATACTAGCACCAAAAAATAATTAACTCGCAACCCAAAAATAATATCTGCATTAATAACCCTAAAACCTCAATAAAACAATACTCCCTATAAAAAAACATTAAAAACCCTAAATTTTATACAACAAAATTAAATAATACGATACTCAAATCTAATCAAATCAAATCATATAATACCATAATAATTAATCATATATACAAAGAGTACAAATAATAAATCATATCACACATAACATTACGAAAATACAAACATCTCAAAAATATAGTGTGATTACACATAATAAATAATACAATCAAACATCTCCAAATTAATAAAGTGTGATTACATAAAATAAATAATACAATCAAATTATAAACAAACGATCTAATTAAGGGTTGATAGTGTGATTACCGTCACGGACATACAATCTTCGTTTTGCTTGATCTGACGAGGAGAACATCACACTTTATTTCACATTGTATAATTAAAATCTCATGAATATGAGATGCTTATTCATGCACACCAACACCCAAGAGTTGACTTTGATTTAGCAAATCAATTGATGATAATTTGCATCATCATGTTAAAGGCAAAAGTAGTAAACTCAATTTTTGCAGAGTACAGCGTTGGGGTAAGCCGAGGCAAACGTAATATAATTAGGGTATAAGAAGTATTTATAGTTTATAAACAAGACTTTTATAAGATATAAAATAAGGTTTCAAACTTTCCAAAAATAAACTACGTAGATAAGGAAGGTTACTTAATAATTAAAATAACTTAATTTATACGTATAAATTTATAAAATATTTAGGTATTACAATCCACCCTCCTTAAAACAAGTTTCGTCCTCGAAACTTAAAATAGAAAATTTTAGGGTATTACATATACTCTGCTCATACTCTAATACAAACTACGGAAAAATCATTTCGTGACAGAATTTGAATTAGCCAAAGGGGGGAATCTGGCCAAAAAATTTAACCAAATAAATATTAACATAAAAAACCAAATAAATAGTTTATAATTGATAATAATACTTGTCTGGTTTTATTAACTACACATTGAGACGTATTCGACATTACTATGTTTTTTGTATTGTATAATTATTAATTATGAGGTCAAAGTTTTTAATGTTTGATAAAAAAAACAGAAATAGGTTTTAATTCAAAAAAAAATAAATAAAATGGAAAGGGGTACTTTCTTTGTTTCTATTTGTTTGCATGAATCTTATTTTTGGATGTCCCTTAAAGATTGCTTCATTTCCTTTTTCCGTAATATGTCCCCACCATCAACTCTACTTGCCCCACACTCATAAATTGTAAAACATAAGGATACCCCTAACCCACTTGCAAACTTTGGTTCAATCCTTAATCATTTATCAACAAAAAAATTCATGAAATATCTTCCGAGTTTTGTTGCAAAAAGGTTTCTTTTACTTTCAACACACGTCTTTAGGCACACACTTTTAGGAGGTGAATAATTAAAGTAAACTCACGATTTTATCAAATTACTTTGATTAATTTTTTTTTTTGTTAACATCTATTATCCCAACCTTAAATTGCAGGCCTCAAGACTATGTTGCAATTAATTAAGTAAAAAAATTAAAAAAAAAACAAAAAAGGAAGTACTTTAATTTATAAGTATATATGTGTGTAATTCTTAACTCATAAATTACTCTTGAATTAGAAAAGACAATTTATGATTAAATTGATTTATTTTGAATGACTAGATAGTAATAATAAGAATAAATTGTACTTTATCATCCCTCAAAACACCATAAGTTGATTTAACTATCCGTTTTTTGTATATCATACATAACCACTCACAAAATCGCAAATGTTAGCTTTAATTTCACCACCTCTTAATAATGATTTTTATAATAAAACATCAAATTTTGTGCCAAAACTTGCTACTTAAAGGTATTCGGGGTCATTTTGACTAATAAGGTTTGATTTGATGGCAATATTGAATAAATATTTTTGAAAATGCCTCATTTTGTGTGCTAAAAATTGCCTTAGTTGTGTGACACATGCAAAATGCAGCATTTTTCGGTTTTTTAGGGGTTTTAACCTCAAATCGAATTCAAAGAGATAAATTAGTGACCCTGAAAACCTTAGTAGAGCAAATTTGACACGAAAATAGATAAGTTTTAACTAACTCTTTGCATTTTTTTTGAATAAACTCTTTGCATTTTTTTGAGTGGCAAATATTATAAATGAAAAATGGATGGGTGATTAAATCAAAATAGGTTGTTTTAAGAGGTGGTAAAATACAATTAATATATTCCTAATAATATTCCATGCTGTAAATTTATTTTTTCTCAGTCAATAAATTTCTTTTATAGAACAACGCCATTACTGACATACACTATTTATTTATATTGATTTTGAGAAAATGACTGACTTTTCTTAACATATTAGTCTTATAATTCAATGGACAAGGTTACCCTTTTAAAATACAAGGTTCCAATTTAAAACATTTAGGCAAAATTAGGCTCAACACCTTGAACTATAATTTGGGTGCAATCAACACCCCGAACTTTGACTATTAGCAAGATCACCACCAAATATTAATTAGTAGGATGCAATGCGTGCAATCAATTATATCCTTTAATTAACAAAAATGTTGCTCAGTTTAACTGTCCTAAAAAATCCATTATTGGCATGCATTACAACAAAGTTAATAGTTAGTGGTAACTGGTAAGTGCTCTAAATTCTAGTCAAAGTTGGGGGTGTTGGTTGCACTGATAATGTTGAGGCCAAATTTGCCAAACATTTATAATGGCTACAAGTTTTTTTTTTTTTTTTGAAAAAAGTCCTAAAAGACACTAAATTTCATTAATGTAAGCCATATGACATCTACAATTGACAATGAACGATAATGATAACGAATTTAACAAAATCAAACAAGAATTAATCGGGGAAGGGCTAAGAATCCAAATACATAAATATAACAATTCGGCATATTCTTGATTCGTTGTCTCATACAACTTTTTGAGTGGATCCGTCGTCGCTTCGCAATTTTGTGAGAAAGTAAATTCTTGTATTGATTCCGAACCCGAATCCGAGCCACAATCAAAAGTAGCCCCGCACAACCGGAGACTAAATTAAGCACAAATAAAACCTTGTCTTTCGAAGGAGTACGAAAAACCTTGTCTTTTGAAGGAGATCGAAAAAACCTTGTCTTTCGAAGGAGATACACCCTTTCTTTCGAAGGAGACATTATTGTAACCTAAAACAAATTAAAAAGCTTAAAAGAAAATAAAGATTGGGGCTTTCCACCGGTGAAATCCGATGGAAGCCCCTTAAAATTAACAATGGAGACTAGGTTTAGGAGAGAGAAGAGAGAAAAGGAGGCTAGGGTTTTTTTTAGACCTAATGGCTACAAGTTTTGAATTGTGTATCTATCCGTAAAAAAATATTCCGCAAAATATTGATAAATTTGATTTGAATTATGTGTGTTTAAAAATTTAAAATTGTTATATACTTCATATATTTTAGTAGCAAATATAGATATTTTTTTTGGTGTTTAGAGAGCCACACAGGGCGGGGGTGAGAATCGATCCCAAGATCTCCTGAAACCGGAAGAGAAGCTCTAGCCACTTGAGCTATCCCTCACTCTAAGCAAATATAGATATTTAGGTTAAATGTGTGTGGGTGTTAGCATAAAAGTCATGGTGTTGCAAGCAAAAGAAAATAAAGAGAGTATATCGATCTTACTCATGGAACGCTACTATGGTGAAACTTTGAGATCTTGCTAAGTAATTGAATCATGTAAGACAATTTTATCACATGTCGATCCTTTATGGTATGTTATCTTTAGAAATAGCTAGACCCTAATTTTAATCTACTTGCTCTCCAAACTTTGATGAGGAAGAATATATTATTAGATATATTAAAGCTAAGGAGAGTGATACATAGAGGATGGTATGATATATATAAACACGTACTATATAAAATGATAAATATAAATTAGGAATAACAATTGAATAAAACGAGTAGTAAATTCCATACAAAGATTGTCTGCGGTGATAGATCTTACAAGCATAAATCATTTGGAATTTAGATGCATAGAAGCATCTTAATTATTTGTTACATAAAAGTACTTGAAATAAAAAGAAAAGTAACACAATACATGACTGACATTTAAAGCAAATTCGTTATTCGTAGCGCACATACTCCATAGTATGTAGATTTAACTTTTAAGTATAGCTTAGCAAGCTCTATCATTCAGCGGAAATGTGCATATGCCTTGAGGCCATCTATCGTAGCAAGTACGTTGCCTCCAAGAATGGGGTCAGTGTGCTCGGTTTTGCTTCCGGACAAACCCAGTCTCACTTCAATTACGTTCCAATCAACTGGACCCATTGGTCCTGCTTCAGCATAAGCCTGAAATTTTTATTTGCATAAAAAGAGGTTAATAAAAATGAATATATTGAACATCAAATTTAAAAGTTACTTTATAATTAAATGTAAACATTTCTATTTTACATCCAATCAAAGTATCAAACAACCACTAAATAATGAAGTTTGACGCAGGAGTGTATTTAAATTAAATATACCTTGCCAGCAGCGGTATCAAAAGCCACAATCCACTTACGAGCAGTGGTGTCATCAGCGGTACCATTAGCCCAGACTTGGCCCCACTTGACGCCTTCAGGCTTGGTGCCTTTCTGGGTAAGAACGGTGTAATAGCCGCTACTAAGAGTTGGACGATCAGTGACCACAGAGCCAGACCAAAAACGCCGATCAATTCTTTGTATTTTGTCCGGGCAAAGGTTTAAGAACTGTGTGTTCAATAACACTTGATCAGCACTTAACTCAACATTACCCTCGGCGGTGTTCACCTTGGCATCCAACTCCGCTTTCAAAGTCTCGTAATCAGCCTCCGGATTCACCAAGCGCACTTCTTCGGCTGTGATCAAATCCGCCATAATTCCTTGTGCTCAGTTTGTCCTTAAAATGCAATGACAACATATGTATGTTACGTTAATATGCATGTTCGTTGATAGAAGCATAAGAGATGTATACAATTATATTCAATTCATATTTTTTTTTTTGCTTACTAGCTAACATTGATATTAATAAACAAATATTATGAAACATTATGAAAAGAGTTTGTATTACTGCCCGTTAATGAATATTCTCAAAAAATAAAATGTTACGGAGTACTATTAAAAGGAAAAGAACAAATTAAATAGTGAATATTACTTCGTATTAAAGAGGGAGAGAAGAAGAAAGAATGAAGAGTAGAGTGTACCTAGCCTTAATGAGTAGTATTGCCTTCTAATTAAATTTGATGATATGAGGAAAAGCTTGTTGTTGTACTGAATGGAGAAGGCTTACAATTCATCAATATTTATAGGCAAGTCAAGACGTACTTTAGAGTTTAGACTAACATGCATGCATGGTGCAATGAATCCTTATTTTTCTCAAATTTATAATATTTAATGTGCATTCCAACGCGTAAACATAAAATATATTTGTATACAATTGCACGTTATCAAGTTCAAAGGCTGATTTTATAATTCATTGAATTGCATGATATTACATCTACCCAGGCTAAGCTAAAACCTCTATCTTAGCTTATCCTCGAATAAACCTATTTCTAGGTGTAACACATGGATTTTTTTTATGCTTATTCATAAGTTTTGCCAATTTGGAGCAAATTGATGAATTGAAACAGGGGCATTACATGATTATAATTAAAAATATTTGTAAATTGATGTTTATTTTGAAATAAATGTTGAAATCACGCATCAATCAGTATTATAAATATTTATTTATATTTAATATTTTTATTATTAGTCATCATTTTATCCAACGCCTCTCAAACTTTCGTTAGTTTTTAGTCTTTTCGTAGAGGTAGTCCCACTTAATCAATAAATGTCAAAATGGTAAATAAAACAACATATATGTCCAGTCATCATGGCATTTTTGTAAATAAATCAACAACAGTGGGACCAAATTTAATACAAAATTGTTAATTTATTTATAATTTTGCCATTTGATAATCAAATTTTGTTCATCAAATTGATTAACTGCTATTTTCTGCTTTTCGTAATACTTGTAAATTAGTTGTTCTGATTTATATTTTTTTTAATGTCTTTTCAACATAGTTATATACAGTAAAACTTTAAGCTTAAATTTATGGATATATATGTACCGTTGAATTGACATTGACTGTTAGAGATACATTAATCTGCTAACTCAACAATTCAGCATAGAATCTAGTTGTGTATGATTAAATTATTCTTTGAAACGTGCTCTAATTAACCTTGAATAACAAGGAATACATTGGAACGATGTAGTCCATGTGAAGTTATTCTCTGGTCAAAAACTATTATTTCGAGATATGATTCTGAATATCTAATTTTATAATTTGGTGTGGATCTCAACGTCATTATAAATTGTTTATACTCTTAGAGTTTTAGCACGAGCCTAATTGATTCATTAGATAATTTGTGAGAAATATGTACTTTAATATAATTTTTTGTTATTTTTTTTAAAAGTTTATAAAAAGTTACGAGGATAATAACGGACGCGTAAGAAAGTTGCTATGAAATTTTTTGTATAACCTCATACTACGTATATTTTAAATAAGTATACAGTTTTACATTAACACTATAGTGTCTTTCTAATTTTACAACATACTTAGAAACTTGTGAATAGAGCTGTACCCTAACCGCTAAACCTGATTGTTTCGACCGATTCGAAAGGAATTTAACCATTTAAAACCCGCTTATTAAAAATCCAAATACGACCCGACCTAATTTTTTCCAACCCGAAACGGAAGTGAGCCAAAATTGTGCAAATGTTAATGACCCGACCGGTTATCAAGCCAAACCATTACAACCCGAACCGATTACATCCAAATCCGTTCCATTGTAAACCGAAACCATTTAAACCCGGGAAAAATCTGATAAAATTGAACCGGTTATAATCCGTAACCCGACCCGTTGTGACCAAACTGTTTTCAACTTGTAACCCGTGACATCGAACAGTTTACAACCTGTAACCTGTTGAGACCAAATCGTTTACAAACCGTAACCTGATATGGATGAGCCATTTACAACCCGCAACTAACCCAATATGTTTATGATCTGAACATTTCAACCTACTACTCGATAAACCCAACTTATTTAAGACTTAACTCAATTATAACCTGACCTAGAGGCCATTCTTACCCAATACATTTAATTAATCGACCGACTCGATGATGACCTGACTCGATTTTAGTCCGTTGTGATTTGAACTGAAACCCGATTCAAACTAGGCAATTAACCCGTTTTCAAACCTTCCGATTACACAACTAAAAATTAAGGTTTTTGCGACTATCTCGGACGATTGCTGAAAATAATTGCGACTGTCGACGGTCTTAACATGATAGTTGTTATTCACTTGGACGCAAAAATACATTATTATGACTGAATGACGGCCTCAAATTTATTGCGACCGTTTTTATTATTTTCAGCGACCGCATGGAAAACGGTCGCAAATGTTAATAACTGCTTTTTTAGCAGTGGTTGCAAATCTAAAAAACAGCGACCACTTTAGATAGTCGCTAAAAGGTAAAAAAAAAAAAACAAAACAAAAAAACACACCCACTACTGCTAGTACTTCACCGCCAGCCCTACCACCACTTTCCACCCAAACAAACTCTACCCACCTCCACCCACCCAAACCAACTCCATCCCCTGCTACATCCCACCACCACACCGCTTACACCCTAAACAACCTCTACGCAACCACTACCGCCCACCCAAAACAACCCTTAACACAAAAAAATCCAATTTATTAAAAAATTATACCCTAAAATATAACCCACAATCAAACTCAAAATCAACAAAAAAAAATAGTTTAGAAAGTTCACGAAAATAACCCACCAGAATTAGACTTTAAAAAAACCCACAAAGTTCATGAAAAACCCCCCACAAAATTCACGAAAAAACCCATAAAACTCACAAAAATTAGACCCTAAAAACCCACAAGGTTCACAAAAATTCGAGCAAAATCTACATGAACTCAGAATCAAACTCAATATCAACAAAATTCGAACAAAATAAGAGCAAAGTCACAAAATTCAAAAAAAATCAACGAAAACTCAAAATAAAACCCAAAATCAACGAAATTCGAACAAAAATTGTAACAAAAATCGAAAACTAAATCAAACAAACATGGAATTCGAACAAAAATTGAATGAAATAAAACCACAAAATTGAAAATAAACAAAAAAAACCAAATTTTCAGAAAAATCAACATATCTTTTCAAAATTTCTTCCTCTTTGGGTTTAAATCAACATATCTTTTCAAATATTTCAAATACGAAATTGTTTTTTTACCATCACACTTGGATATTTTACCAAAATGGCTAGTTTGACAAAAGTATTACCAAAACGACTAATTATAAATTTTAATTCCTAAACTAGCTAATTTATTAACTTAAAGAAATTTATCTATTTCTTATTTCCTTTGATCCGGTTTGGTTCTTTTTTTTTTGTTTTTTTATTTACTTAAAGATTTTTGTAAGTTGGAAAATTTATGCAATATACAAAACTATGAAGAACGTAAACAGTCGCAGACCCGCAGAACCCTAATTTCGATTAAAAAAAACACAATTAAAAGCACTAATTTTTCATCTTGATCATATCAATCACAAAAATTTGGAATTTCAAGTAGTGTTGTTCTATCAAGTCTACCGCAAATTTATACGACGATAAGAGATTTTAAGGTATTGTTCATCTTTTTCATGTCTTTTAATTGTATACTCTTTGTTAATGTCGACTAGTAGGAATATTATTTTTTGTTTAAGGTGTATGATAAATCAAACTTACATATATTTATTTCTATTTTTATGTGTTAAAAAATTAGTTGTTTTTTTTATTGGAAGTTTGGATCATTTTTTTGAGTGGTTGTTTATGTTGTGTAACTTTTTAAAAAATTAAGAATTGCTGCATATATATTATGTTGGTTGTTATTGTTTTGTGTTCAAATTAATGGGATATTTTAAACTATGGCATTAGAATTTAAATAAAACCAAAAAAAAAAAAAACTAATTCTTTTCAAATAAAACCAAAAAAAACATAAAGTGAACAGAACGGGTTCAAAGGAATATAAAAAATAAATAATATCCTTTCAAATCAATAAATTTAGCTAGTTTGGGAATTAAATTTTATAATTAGCCGTTTTTATTAAATACTTTTGTCAAATTAGTTATTATGGTAAAAGATCCATCAAACTTTTAAAAGTTTTATTTTACCACCAACTAAATATCAAAAAATTGTTTTTCACCACTTGTTGTCAAAAATAACCACTAAATCTAACGGAATTATCTTGATCATTCAATAAAACAGAAGTGCTATTCTGTGACTAGATGGAATGACATAAAATATCCTTTTTGATGTAAATTACGATGGATTAGGAATTACAACTTTTACAAGTAAATAAAAACACACTTAATTTCATACAAAGATTATCTGCTGGACTAGATTATCTAACTAGCAAACATCATTTGGAAGCTAATAAAAGCAAAGCACCAACATTATTATTTGTTACACAATTAAGAGTAGCTAAAACAAAATAGAAACAAACAAGTACTGATTGTTGTATACAACACTTGTAACACGAATACATTCTACGAGATTACTCTGTAGTAGCTTAGTATGTAGATTTCAGTAGCTAAGCAAGTTATCATTCAACGGAATTGTGCATATGACTGGAGACCATCAATCGTAGCCACTACCTCGCCTCCAAGAATCGGGTCAGTGTACTCAGATTTGTTTCCGGACATACCCAGTTTCACCTCAACTACATTCCAATCAACCGGACCTGTTGGTCCTGTTTCAACGTAAACCTAACCAAATATTTGCAAACAAGGTTAAAACAATATTATTATTTTTTTAACAATTTTTTTTTTATGTTGTACGTCCAACCAAATGACCACTAAATAAGGACATGTTCCGTTCAGCTTAATTTCAATTCAATTCAGTTTAGCTGCAATCAGTTCAGTTCCAATAAATTCAGTTCAGTTTTTTAATTTCCTTCTCTCATACACAACTCATTTAAGCTCTATTCAGTTTAATGCAATTCAGCCCAAATCAGTTCTTTACAGTTTAGTAAATCGGAACAAGCCCTAAGTTACGAGGGAGTATTTTTACATACCTTGCCAGCAGCAGTATCAACAGCCACAACCCACTTACGAGCTGTAGAGTCATCACCATTAGCCCAAGCTACGCCCCACTTGACACCTTCAACCGTAGGGCCTTTCTGGTAAAGACGGACATAAGTTTCGGGTCCAAGATACGGGACCTCATTGATCAAGGAACCAGACCAAAAATGCTTGTCAATTGTATGTATTCTGTCCTTGGTTTGGTTTACGAAATGAGTATCCGCTAATACAATTTCACCAGCGGCACTCAAGGCAACATCACGACAACCTCGTCGTCAGGCTTTGCCTTGGCCATCAAGTCCTTCAAAGTCTCAAAATCAGCATCCGGATTCTCCAATTTCACTGCTTTGGCTATGATCTTCTCTGCCATAATTTGTTCTTACTTTGTATAGTCCTTCAAAAACAACTTTTGTTAAGTAGGTATACTATAGATAGAAGCGTAGGACTTACGACTTGCTTAAACATTACTCCCTCCGTAAGAATGTAATTTAGGGACGGAGGGAGTACTTAAAGTAGCAAAAACAAGATAAGTTATGAGGGTTACACCTTCCAAGTTTCGAATACAACCCATAGACATAATTGTATTTTGCATAATTTTCAATGCAATGTTGTAATGACAATATATTTAATCACGTATTCCAAAAAGATGCAAAAACTCATATACTCCGTACTTTGAATTTGAAATAAAAATATCCCTCAAAAAAAAAAAAAAAAAAAAAACGAATATAATATCTCATACATGATTATGTTTTGAAGTACCTATACTCTGTATATTTTTATGTTTAACGTATTAGCTAATTTCACTTTCAATGGACACCCACCTCACAATTATTGCAAGTTAGTTACTGAGTATCCGATAATAATAAAAATCAATATAAAAAATAAATAGAGGGAGTATTTTGATCTCAAAGGGAAGGAAAGGAAAGGAAAGTAAAGATCAAAGAGAGTAGTACCCTTAATGAGTATTGCCTGCTAAGTTTGAGGATTAAAGGAAATAATACTTGTTGTTGTACTGTATTAGCTTATAAATTTTATTATTTATAGAGAGGCCAGAACTTGATCAAGATCGGACTAAGATATGCATGATGTAGTGTATGAATTTTAAATTAAACAATCAAACATAAAAGATAAGTTAAGTTATAACAGCGACAATTTCATAAATATCAACGCTTTCAAAGGGCTAATTTCAGATTTCTTAGAAATTGCAAGTCCTTTAATTGATTCATACTTGTTTGTATAATTGTACATATTATCTTCTTCAACGATATGCACGTTATCAACTAAGGATATTTCTAATCATATCCAAACTCTATTAATATTATTTCTCTCATAATAATGAATTGCATTATTGTCCGTTGAAAATATGATAAGAAGAGAGACACGTGCTCTCCTTGAGCCACGAGGCATGTATTGAATGTAGTCCACGTTGAGTTATTTCTTGTTAAAAATTAGGCAAAAGGTAATGAGCGCCCTCGGGGTTAGATAAGAGTATTAATAGTGAATTTTAGAGTAAAATTAACATTAATTACACCAAATGACGCGTGATTTTGTCATGCATTCCTAACTTAATATTTTTTCAACCAATAAAATTATTCCTTAACTAACGCCCCGGGGCGCTCGTTAGCAAGATCCTAAAAATTATTAGTCGTAATAAAATTAAGAGGGTATTGCTATATGCAGCCCTATACGATTTAATATATATATATATATATATATATATATATATATATATATATATATATATATATATATATATATTGTCAATTCTTTTTATTTTTAACTTCTTATATTCAGTTTTAAGTGCTGCATATATATTTTTCCTAAAATTAAAAAGTTGTTATTATCTGTAGACACCCATTTGTGTCTCCCCAAAACAAAACCCAGTGATGAGTACCTTTCGCGTCGAATCACAATCGAATGAAGTGAAAGTGTGGAAAGTCTAGTGTTGCGGATAATTTGTGTGAAACTATATTTTGCTGTAAAAACGAGGCCCTTACGTTAATGTTTTGCCAATTTCGAGCTCAATTTGGACCCTTAAAAACTATAATGGCCGCTATAACCTTAATCAAACATTTTTCGACACGCAAACCGATGTAAAAAAATAAATCAGATTGCAATTTACAATTTATAACAACTTTTGGGCTGTAATTTAACTATTTTAATATGATATCAAATGCCATTTAACTATTTTAGTATCTATGTAATCAAATACCTCCATACATAGATTCATCGTCTGGTGACATATACATACATTACAACCATAAACAACCATACATTTTTAGGATACAAGATGCATAGTAGCATCATTATTTTTTATTACACAATTAAAAGGAACAATTAAAATGCACATAATTAAAAAGCAAGGAAGGTAAAGCATTGTAGTCATTGATTAACTGCAACAGCAATGCAGCTAAACTAATCAAGCTAGCATGGTAGCTAATAGAGAGTTGATATTGCTTGGAGACCGGTAATCTTAGCAGTGATCTTGCCTCCAAGAATAGGGTCAACATACTCGCAACTGCTTCCAGTCATAATAGTTGTTCAATTCAATGATACGGCTAGGTAGGTTAGTAGTTTGAATTACCTTGCCAGCAGCGGAATCAAAGGCAGCAACCCACTTACGAGCAGTGGAGTCGGTACCAGAAGCGTAGCAATAGCCCCATTTGACACCTTGAGGAAGAGGGCCTTTCTCCCTAAAATAGTAAGTTGTGAATCTATTCATATCAGGGAAGCTAGTCAGCGTATAGCCAGACCAAAAATGAACGTCGATTTTCGTCAGCTTGCTATCGGTGAAGTTTGTGGTAGGGCTGGTCAGTTCCACTTCTCCAGCAAGTAGTTGTGCACCACCCGCCTCGCCCTCGGCCTTTCCCTTAACCTCCAACTCCTTCACCAGCTTCTCATAGTGAGCTTCTGGATCCTGTAAATTCACCACAATTGGTTCGATAGTTGCCATGTTCCTCGCTTGCTTTTCGTATGTAGTACCGTGTTCAATCCTGCAAAACCATACGTATGTGTACTATGTATTACTAACAACACTTAAACAAGAATCATATATTAATCAAATACGTAATAATAAAATGAATTGATGATATAACTACTAGTATCGATTGATTAATAAGAAATAAATAAAATATAACTTTGATTTATAAAGTGAAGGGAGTAGTATATAGCATACCCTTGAGTAATCTCTGCTAATAAGTTTGAGTAAAAGAGCTAGTTAGTTGTAGTGCAATGAGAAAAGCTTCTCATGTCACCGTATTTATAGATTGTATGTGAGGCTTAAGATGCCAAATTTTTCTTGAATCCATAAATAATTATAAAATTCTTATGGCGTGCACTATAATCATACTCACTTCATTTCATAATAAGCATAAGAACTTGACTGGCACATGTGTCAACGCACAGTTTTGATCATTAATATTTGTATTATATACGCAGGTCTAATGAGAACCTTCCGTCTTTGATCCCTGGAAACACAATTAGTAAGAAGTGTTAAGTGATGATATAATAACGAAAACACACATGAAGAATAACTTGAAGTATTTTACATGGTAACAAATGTTTTTTCTCTTTTATATATGATTAAAAAAAAGTTCAAAGTAAATACGTAGTATATAAATAGTACAAAAGTTAAATTGTTGCAATTATTATGAAATGGGGGTAATACAATATTCCCGTGTTGCTCTACTCATATTTTTTTTATTACTGTGCTTAATACGTTTGAATTTTTGTACTATTTACCTAATTTATGTTGAATCTATTTCTGAAGACTTATTTTATGTTGAATCTTTTTTATCATATGTGATTATGAATTTATGATATAACATATGAATAAACAAGTGGGATCACGTTTCATTATATACCCTCACTGTATCATATGAATAAATTCACCACAATTGGTTCGATAGTTGCCATGTTTCTCTCTTGCTTTTCATTCTTAGTACCCTGTTCAATCCCTGCAAAACCATACGTATGTGTACTATGTATTACTAACAACACTTAAACAAGAATCATATATTAATCAATTTATAAGAACGAAAATAAAATTAACTTTGATTTAATTGAAGGGATCGGAGTAGTATATATATAACATACCCTTGAGTAATGCTTGCTAAGTTTGAGTAAATGAGATTGTTAATTGTTGTGCATTGAGAAAAGCTTATCATTTCATGGTATTTATAGACTGCATAAGAGAATTAAGATGCCACATTTTTCTTAAATTGAATAATATATAAATATAATTATACAATAATACTTATTAATTAAGAAGCAAACTGCTAACTTTGCTCTACCTCACCATGTGTTGGTGGTGGATCCTTATGGCGTGCAATTTAATTAATAATACATTGGTGCCTTACTTTCTCTCCTAGGCTCTTACCTCAAACCCTTGACAAGTGATGAGGGTGTTTTAATTTGAGGCCGAAATTGCCTTACTTTCTCTCCTAGGCCCTTACTCCTAAAGTACCTGAATTGAGACTACTAAACCAAAAAAAAAAAAAGAAAAAAAAAAAAACTTCATGTACTAGTAAACCATCTATGTATCATATACTTTAGTAAAAATGTTCAAGTTTGGGTTTAAATCAAACTTGAACATTTTGTTTCAATTTTTTGTGTCCAATTGGGTTGGTCTATTTTGGGTTTAAGTCAAGCTAAATAATAGAGTTCATGCAAGTCGAATTCTTAATTAATCACTATCAGATTAGGGCAGATTTAGTTGGGCCAGACAAGTATTTTACATCTTTAATTACTCCCTCCATTTCACTTTGTAAGTCCATATACTATTTTGGGTGATTTAAATTGATATACCCATATAGATTATATTTCTAACATTATTATATGGTGAATAATTTTCATAATCTGTGAATAATTAATCTAATTGGGTGTTTCAATTTTTATTTTTTTTTCAATTTTAATTTTTATTAGTAACCAATTTTTTTGGGAAAAGGTAAGGAATGAAAAAGAAACACTAGGATACCTTTCTCTTGAGGGCAGGGTCGGCCTGGAGGGATAGGCCTCGAGTGCGACCACCTAGGGTCCATGCCAAAAAGGGGCCTAAAAATTAAAAAAAAAAATTCAATTTACATAGATGTAGGATTTTACCACTACTAGAAAACAGGCTAATTGCAACGGACTGCTTCCGACGGACCCAATATTCCGTCGAAAAAAGCTAAATTTCCGACGGATTTTTATTCCGTCAGAAATTTTCGACGAATTCATCAATTCCTTCGAAATTCCGTCGGAAAATTTTGACGGATAAAAATCCGTCGAAAATTTAGCTTTTTCCGACGGATTTTTCCGCCAGAAATTAACTTTTTCCGACGGATTTATAGTACGTCGAAATTTTCCGACGGAATATTCCGTCGGAAATTT